CAGCTCTGCAACAGGGTTGCTGTCAGCAGCGCAGAGCAGCCACAGAGCCTGGCCCTCCAGGACCCGGAGGGAAGAGGTGGTCAGCAGAATCTTGGGGGTTTTGGGGAGATGCAGGGGGAACGAGAGAAGTGGGGTGGGTGAAGCCAGTACTTCTTTCCTCCTGCGATGTCCACTAGCTCTGAGGGGGGGACCGTCAGAGTCCAGGCCGCAGGCCTTCAGAAGAGCCCAGGATGATGTCCGCAGAGTTGCCCAGACTGCCCATCGGAGGGAGGGCAGGGGCTCGGGGCAGGGACTCGGTGGACTAAGGCAGCTGCGAGGCCAGAGAGGAGCCCATGGGAGCAGGAGGACGCGGCTCCTCGGAGGCGGGGCACTGCTCCCTTCGGGTCTGACGGGTCTGACAGGAGGCTGCAGGGGGAACTCCAGGTAGCTGAGGTTCCTGGGGAGTTTCCCCCTTCTGCTCTCCCTGCCCTTGACCTCTGCAGTTGAATTCATCCTGTCACACAGCTTGTGGGGAACTTCACCTGACAGGTGAAGTGTGTGCCATGGTCCTGGGGCCGTGGGGTGAGGGTGAGCACCGAAGACAGGCAGCCCAGGGAAGTGAGGGTGGCTGACGTCCAGGAGAAGGTGGGGGGCACGCCCGGCTCACAGGCCCAGGGTGCAGAGCAGGTCAGGTTCTGGGGGCGGCCACACCGCAGGGTCCCTGGGAGGGGGAGATGGGGCGTGCAGGTCAGGGCTGGTGAGTTGGGGTGGAATTAGGGCCCTTTAGGGGGTGGAGTTCAGCCTGCCTCAAGGGCTCGTCACAGCTGTGCCCAGCGCATCCCACCCCCAGGAGGAGCAGACCCTTCATTTTTCTATTCCAGGGCGCTATCCCCAAGACCTATCCCTGGGCCCCATACCTGTCATGCTTAGAGACGGCATCTTACCTAGGTAGGAGTGTTTCCTGAGGTATTTCCATTCGGAAGTAGTAACTCCCGCTGTCCCCCATGTTGATGTCTCTGATGCCCAGGGAGCAATTGTCAGCCTGGGGGTCCCCAAGGAGGAAGAACCGGCCCTGGGTTCCCTCATGCTGCTTCTGTTCTGGTTTGTTTGTGGCCACTGGGGGATCATGGGTAATATCTGCCCCTTTCTGGAACCAAATCACGTGGGGAGCTCCATAGGCAGGCCCAGGGTAGGAAAATTCACAAGGCATCAGGACACACAGACCCTCCTGCACCGTCACAGGCCTCAGCAGTTCCAGCTGGTAGCTCGGCTCCTGAACGGGGACCCTGGGGAGAGGGAGAAACCCGGCCTGAGCTCTGGCACCTGCCCCGAGGGGGTCTGCCCGCCCCTAGGCCCGCTCACCTCCGCACCGCATGCGCACCAGCAGCAGCCAGAATGGCGTCCTCGGGGCCTGGGACAGTCCTTCTGGGCGCCCTCTGAGAGAAGACAAATCTGCATGTGTGGGAGGGGAGAGGAAGCATAGACAGGAAGCCTGTGGTGGCATCAAAAGGCCGCAAGCCCAGAAGGAGGAACTTCAGACGCAGGGAGAGTCAGCTGCAAATTGGCCCCTGAGATTGTCCAGCCCGTTTCTGTGTGCGGCAGACGAGCCCTGCGGCTCAGACCCGGGGTTTGCCCGAGAAAGCAGCAGGGGAGGACAAGAGCCCCCAGGTCCTGCCTTGTCGGCCTCCTCCCCGTCTCCAACCCACTGACAAAGGAGGCGACACGATGAGATACTGAAGACCTGAGTGGGCCAGCCGGGGGGACTCGAGGCACACCAGCTCAAGAGCGGTGCTGGAAAGGCGCCTCTCATATTTACTGATCAGGCATCACGTTCCTGAGTGGGTTAACAAGTTTCTAGACACAATGATTAACATGCTTTACTCCAGGAATGTAATTGTCCCCAGGGCAAGAGCCCCCAGGTCCTGCCTCCCGGGCTCGCGCACAGTCGTCTGTACGGGAGAAGCAGGTCCCACCTGGCCGGCTCCCAGACAGTCATGGCCTCGGGACCCCAGTGGGGGTGGCCTGCTATAGATTGGTCCCAGATTAGCCTGTCTGGGCACCAGATGCATAAAAGGGTCCGGAGGAGGCAAGAGAAGCAACACATACCTTCACTCACTCATTCATTCATTCATTCATTCATTCATTCATTCATTCATTCAAAAACAAATGCAAAAAAGGATAGACCTGAATCAGTCCTGACCCTTAACTAGCTCCAGCAGTGGGGGAAGACAGGAAAGCTGAGCTTTATCTGGGGTCAGTGAGAAGCTGTGGGGGGCTCTTGAGCAGGAGAGAGCAGGGTCATAAAAGTATCACTGTGATCTCTCTGAGGCCAGGGTAGGAAGGATTGGAAGGGAGAGGCTGGCCAAGAGGCCAGAGAGGAAACTGTTGTGATCGTTCAGAAAGGTGAGAGCCAAGCTTTCATGGAGACAACAGCCTGGGTGGAGGAAGAAAAGAGCAATTTAAGACACTTTCAGGAAGTGAAATGTGAAGGGAGGTCAGGGAGGTCAGCGTCTACCGTGGTTTCCGGAGCCCTGAGTCTGATATCAGGGGGTTGGAGGTGCCGTGGCCAAAGCAGGGTGAATATGCAGGCAGGGCTGGGCAGAACGGGGTAGGAAAGCCTGCAGAGCTTTCCTGGTGTGGGTGTGTTCACCAATGGGGCACGGGGCCCTGGGGGGGGGGGCTCCAGCAGCACACACACACACACACACACACACTTAACCTTACCTGTGGGATGAGGAGGCAGGTGACAGAGATCACCTGGCCAGGGAGATAGGAGGAGAACAGGTGGTTTTCAGCGACCTTGGTGAGAGTTTTGCCAGAAAGGGGCAGGAGGGGGCAGCAGCCCAACTAGGGCAGCAGAGGGGCAGTGTGTGTGTGTGGGGAGCTCAGCTGGAAGTCTGTGGTCTCTCCCGTGGAGCTCTGAAACCCCACTCCTGCCCTGAGCGCCGACCCCCACCTCCATCACTGCCCCACAGGAGTTTCTTTCCTACCCACGCCATCCCTTGGACAGGGCCAATCGCCAGATCCTTGAAGCACGTGGACCAGAGAAAGACAATACAGCTGACCCCTGAATGACACAGGTGTGAATTGCACGAGTCCACTTATGTGCAGATTTTTATTCAGTGAATATATTAGAAAACTTTTTGGAGAACTGCAACCATTTGAAAAAACATTTTCTTTTCTGTAGCTTACTTTACTGTAAGAACACAGTGTATATAAATACAAGATACCAGCTATGGGTCAATCGACTGTTTCTGTCATCAGTAGGGCTCCCGGTCAACAGTAAGCTAGTAGCAGTTAAGCCTTTGGGAAATCCGAAGTTCTATGGAGACTTCCGACTGCTTGGAGGGTCGCTCCCCTAACCCTTGCATTGAAAATACAAGGCTCAAGTGTATTTTCCACTTCGATGGTGGGGGAGAATGTGGCTTTAACTCTTTGGCTGCATCCACAGAAGGGTGATGAGGTGGGGACTGATTGCTTTCTCCTCCCTTCTCAGGCCAGGCATCAAGTCACACAGGCCCTCAGAGACTCGGGTGTCCTGACCAACCTCTGCTCGGGGGGTGTCAGGCGCTCAGCTGAGCTTGGGGAGGGCCTGAGCTGCTAGGTGTTCAGGGGAGCTGATCAAGGCAATGAATCAAAATGAAAGTAGCAACTAAGCCTTTCATCACCTACTGTGAGGGTATGTCGTATGCTGTATATTGTATATTGTATAAGCAAGAGTCTAAATGGAAGAAAGCCCTGACTCCCCCATGTTCCCTTTCCCCCCAGAGAACAGTGCATGGGTGTTAAAGAAAAATATGATTGTAACTGTCATGGAAAAATTGACTCATGACCTTTATTGAAGGACAGTAAGGCAGACTGTGTTCAGGACCATCAGAATAGGGGCAGGGGTCGCTGCAGTGGGGGGATTCTTGCTAAAACTGGGCAATGCAAACTGGTCAAGGATGAATGCAAAGAGCTCCGAAGAGCTTGGGTAGCGTTCAGCCAAGGAGAGAACCCCTGTCAGGGGCCAGGTGGAGCAGCAGAGGCGTGGGGGTGACCTCACCGACAGGGGAAGCCCAAACAGAAAGTTTCCCCAGTTCCATATACAGCCTGGGGTGAGGTGGGGAGGTAGGAGTGGGAGCACTGAGTCAGAAGAGGGGCAGCATCTTCAGGTTCCCCTCCTCCTCCCCAGAAGGAGGCCTCAGTAACGGTGCCTGAAGACCTCTGCCCGAGGCTTCAGAGAAAGGGGTCCATGAATGAAGGACCTGGGCTTGCCATGCAAACACACAAAGAGCATGACCTGCCAGGGGGCCTGAGTCATTGACAGGAGCAGCTCCCTGCAGAGATCTCTGTGCTCTGGCTGTTCCCCAAGCCTGGCGCAGAAGGACAGCTTTCCCCCATGATGCCTGCCCCCCAGGGGCAGTCTTCATATTTGCCTGTGATTAGGCTTGAAAAATCATATGTAAGTTTTTAACCACCAACTGACCTCCTCCTGTGGTTTTATCCACAGACATACAACCTCCTAGGAAGGTCACTGACAGGTATAGCTATTTGTCACATTTAGAGACAGTGTCATGTATTGGAAGCCATATTTCTCTTGAAGTACATCCACCTTCCCACGGCTTGGAAAATCTGATGTTCAGGGAGCGACTATGGACCCTTGCGTCCCCAAGGAGCACCTCTTCTAGGTTTTGATAGAGTCTGGGGCCAGGGGAGACTAGGGTGTCTGTCAGCCACCTCCAGCCTCTGAAAGTGGGCGTCCAGAGAGCTAAAGTCAGTCCAGGACGGAATAGGATGCATGGCCCTCCTTCACCGGCACTGACAGAAGGATACAGACCGGACCGCACCATCCTCCGGGGGCCACTGTTAGCAAACAGCCTCTGCCTGGAATCCCGCCTGAGAACCTCTCTTTCAGACCCCTGCCTCCCTCGCAGTGTGGCCACAGGCAATGTCTCTGGTTGCAGAGGACAGTCTAAGTCCCTTCACACCATCTGAATCATCTCTCCCAGCTTGGAGGTGGGGGTGACTGTGCGTGGTAAGAGAGCTGGGGATGCCTTCTGGACCAAAATGTGTGGTTTCTGGCCCCAACTTCTCCGTCCCACAGGAATAGCCCTCTCTCCCTTGGGCCGCTGCCCGAGGAAGTCACAGCCCAACTCCCTCGCCCTGGACCGCGGCGTGGTGGGTGCATCCTTCCTCCTTTACCCTGAAACTACCTCTCACCTCCTGGAGACCAACCCTGCTACCCTAGAAAAATGTGGTGTTTGGGAGTCTATTTTTCCCAAAGAGGTTTGTTGGAGCCCCTCTCATGGGAAAGGGGTGGGAGACAAAGGCTCCCCTGGGCCTGAACCTTCTCTGTGTTGGACGCAGCCCAGGGCTGGAGCCCCCAGGGCCTCAGGAAGCACTGGGCGAACTCTTGAGTTCATCTGCAGGGAGGGACCCTGTGGACAGAGGCTGGTACTGAGCCTGGGACTCCAGACCCAATGAGTAGTTTGGGTTCAGGGTGACGCAGAACTTGCAACCGAACCTTTGCCCCCTCACCTTTCCTGTGAGTCCTGCACAGACACCTGCTGGATCTCTCTCTCTCCCTGGGCTCCCTGAGCAGCTCCAGCCTTTCTGTCCAGCTTCTAGGTCTCCACGGGCGGTGACCTTGCCTGAGGTCACGAAGCTCCTCCTAGTGTAAGCAAGGTCCCCAGAGAACCTAAGCATCGAATGTCTCCCGTCGCTTCCAAAGACAGGGCCTCAGTCAGCCTCCTGACGCCTCATTCCTTTGTTTAGCCGGCAGACACCGAGGCGTATGTTTTTTTACTCTCTCAGGACTGGGCACTGGCTAGCGTCAGAGAGGGACCATGGGTTCTCTGTCCCCCAGGGCTCCATTTGGAAGCCAGCAAAAGACTAGGCAAGAGGAAGAGAGAAAAAGAAAGGTGGGTGGAGAGGAGACAGGGAGAAGAGGAGGGAGGTGGGGAGAGGATGTTGGGAGAGGCCCTTCCTGTCTGCAGGAGGCCGAGGAGCAGGGGATGGGGGCTAATCCCGGGCAGGGAGGGATTTCTGAGATGGGGGAGGAGGCTGCCCTCAAGGCCAAGACACCCAGGGTGTGTGAGGAGCCCCGTACCACGGGCGGGACGGAACACAAGGCCCTATCTCCTGGGTGGCAAGGAGTCTGAGAAAGGAGACCTAGACTGCGAGACCCTTATGCGGGTCACACCCGACCCCCAGGCCTCTCCCGATTCTCCCATCAGGGTTTCCCCCTGCAGGGAGCTCTCCTTCCGGACCAGACAAGCTCCGGTCCTCGGTGAGCCCCAGAAAGCTGGGGGGTGGCGCTGTCCGTGGTGCTGAAGCAGGACTGGCTCCAGAGTTTAGGAATAGCCGCGCTGTGCGGAAGGGTCCGACTAGGCCGGAGCCAGACTTGGGCGTCAGGCAAGGAAATGACGCAGTCCGAAGGACCCCCCCCCGTCCAGGAGGGATAAAATGTGGGACGGGCCAGCCCTCCGGTCTGAGACCTGGGCTTCCCCTGTGCCCACATCCCTGTCCTCCTTCTTCATCCTGAGAAGGTTCTGAGGGCGACTCTGCCACACCATTGAACGAAAGCCAGCAGCACCCCACCTCTAGGCTTCCTGTGGTGAGAAAAATCGAGCCCTTTTTGCTAAGTTTATGAAAGCCTTTCTGTAGTGTAGAGCAAAATGCATTTCTAATTGATACAATTTATGGGGAGTGGCGATGATTCCTTCAATTCCATTTGAAACCGACAGCATTTTCCAAAAGTGTACTATTCATTTAAATCTCCTGACAACACATGACAGTGCCTTGTATGACTGACTTTTTCCACTAATTCAAGATTAGAGAAATACTATTATATCCTCTCTTCATCTTGCATCAATATTATAAACTACCTTTCTCATCTTTTTAATTTACCATACTCCTCTGTGAGTTATCTATTCAAAACGTTTACACAGAGGGATATTGGAAATCTCCTTATCAACTTTTCTGAAAGTAGTAAGCTCATCCCTCTTATTTACCTTGGAGAAAAACTTATTCTTACCCACAAAATATGCATCCCCAAATTTCAGAGCGTGTTTTACTCTTTTTGACTGTTGCCCCAGGATGAGGGGGTACCCCACTCTGCACAAGTTTGCTATGAATTCAGGAAGACCGAATAAAGACAAGGGCGAGTTGGGGGTGTTAAGAGGGGTGCATGCCGTGTGTATTCTTATGGTGGTCATCCAGCTCTGTACAAGCAGCAGACAGCTCAGTCTCTCCTGGCTCTGGCCCTGTTCCCTCCTGCACCCCAGCAAGGGCTTAATCCTCTCCTGGCACAGGGGCCCCACAGCCTCCCTCCACCAGTCTTCGTTCCCTCCTAGCTCTCTCTCTCGGCTTCTCTTCTCTCTTTCTCGTTCCCCTGTTTTCCTGCCCAGCACCGGGACGAACTCTGTGGGTGGGTCTCTGTGGCGGCTCATGGATGCCTGACCTATTACGTACCAGGAACTGAGGCCCGGAGACCGTGGCTGTTTCCCTTCCCAGGCTCCTCTAGGCCGGTACTCCTGTGACTGACCACCTGCTCCGTCCCTGGTAATCATCCCATAGACTGGCAGACAGGCTCTCTATGTACACAGTGGGCAATATTAAGGCCAGGTGGGTATCCTGGTGAGAAATTTCTATTTTCTCTACATTGACCTTTATGTAAATGACATCACACAGTATGCATTTTTTTCTGGCCACTTGCACTTAATATTAGTTTTTTCCATTTTTTTATTTTGAAGTATGTAACATGTAGAAGATACAAATGGCTAAGTGTGCAACTCAGTGATTTATCAGAAAGCAAGGGTCAGTCATGAAATAAGAATATTCCGAGCTCCCCAAATGCCTCAGCAGTCTATGGGATACAGCAAAGCATGAACTTCCTATTTCCTCCCATCTTTGCCACACTTGCTGTTAAATCTGACTTCTTGATTTTCTTATCTGATAAGTGCAGAATAGTATCTTGTTTCTCTGATTTTTTTCAACTACCAGTGAGTCTGAGCATCTCTTTGGACTTATTTTCCATTCATGTTTCCACATCTGTGCAACAAATTTTCATCTCCTTTGCTTGTTTATGTATGTTGGCTTGTTTTCCTTTCTTTTTGGTCTTTTGTTTTTGTACATTCTAGTTAAAAAGCACTTATGAGCTTAAATGAAGGAAATTATTTCTCCCATTCTGCCATTTCTCAGATCATCTTGTCAAAGGTGTCCTCTGTTTGAGAGAAACATTCATTTTGATACAATCAAATGTATCACATAAATTGGTCGTTTATTTTATCCAGTAGGTAAAACTATTTCTTGACATTTAAAAAATATTCTCTAATTTAAGAATATTTACAATATTATGAGTTACAAAACATACATATTTGGTCATTGACCAAATATATGTTTCCCAGGTAGATCTGGTCTTCATCCACATCTCCTGAAAACACTGCAGAGGCTTCCAGGTGAAATCGGTGTCTTGTCACGATAATGAGAGACTTTTGGAGCCACCCAAGGGCAGGGGCAGCCGGTGGCCCATGACTTAGTCAATTATGACTATGCAATGAAGCCTTCACAAAAACCCGAGAACATCTCTCTCTCTTGCATCCTGCTTCTCTGTCAGAGAGGGCTTCTATAAAAGAGCGTCCTCTCCTTTGTTCTCCCCACATTCTTGTCGTTTTGCCATTGCTTGCTTGTCCCAAATTACAATTCTCTGCTATTCCTGAATAAACACATTTTGCTGGTAAAATAAATGACCGTTTTATTTTTAAGGTTAACAGGCTGTAGGAAGAGTGTCAGAGCCTGAGGTACTTGGAGCTGGGTCCTAAATTCTGGAGTGGGGAGGGGGCTCAGGAGGATGCTCACCCTGAAGCCAACCTCCAAACCGAGGAGGGACGTCCTGTTTTCTGAATGTGGATGCTGCACAGAACCTGACCATCAGTGTCTTTCTTCCCCGGCAGCAATTCAGATGGGAGAGAACCTCTCCTTTGCTGGCCTGCAGCAACTCTGCACAGAGTCCAAGTCTCAGAGCTCGGATGGCAGGAGGGCTGAGATCGGAAGTGCAGAGCACAGGTACAGGAAGCCGCTAGCTCGCCTGTTCCTGTTATGAGCCCTCGCTCTTGCCACAAAGACAAAGACCTCCTTGTCAAATCTTACGGGGATTTTCCATCTTCTCTTCCCTGGACTGCTTGGAGGGATCTTTTGTTTTGGCAGCCGACTTCTTAAACTTCTCAGCTACCTCCCCCAGGGCCAAATGCAAGCATCAGAGGTTCCTTTGAAGAACCTGCGAAGCTATTGAACCCAGGAGGGCCAAGTCCTAAGTTCTCCCCAGTCCTCAGAGACTGGGGTCCTGGAGCTGCCCCCAGTGGAGTCTGGTGATGGAGCGGGGTTCATCTACCAAGCTGACGACCCCTTGGGCTCCCAATGCGCCTCTATTTGCCTCCCTGCAGAGTGAGTTGTGGGAGGGAAGAGGGGGCAAGATGCCTGGATTCCAAGGGTGGCGCTTAAAATTAGTGCAAAAACACAGAGAAAATGTACTTTTCAGAATATCCAAGTGCCGGAGTCCAGCTCCAGAGG